GAGAGAGAGAGAGAGAGAGAGAGAGAGAGAGAGAGAGAGAGAGAGAGAGGAGAGAGAGACTCCGAGCCATGTGTGTACTGTTTTTTTTTTTACTTTAAGTGAAACTTTTTTTATTTTTATTTTATGCACATTGGTATTTTGCCTTAGGTGTTAGGTCCTCTGGAACTGGATTTAAAGACAGTTGTGAGCTGCTACATGGGTGCTGGGAATTGAACTCAGGTCCTCTGGAAGAACAACCAGTATTCTTAGCCACTGCACCATCTCTCCAGCCTCCAGTGTGTACTGGTTTTAATAGAAATGCCGCACACAGGCTCAGATATTTGAATATTTAGTCCCCAGGGAGTGGCACTATTTGAAAGGATTAGAAGGATTAGGAGGTGTGGTCTTGTTGGAGGAAGTGTGTCACTGCGGGTGGGCTTTGAGGTTTCAAAAGCCCCTGCTAGGCCCAGTCTCTCTCTGCCTGCAAATTAGAATGTAGCTCTCAGCTTCGGCTCCACCGCCTGCCTGCATGCTGCCATGCTCCCCACAACTCCGCTAACTGACTAAAGCTCTGGCACTTATACAAGCCCACAATTAAATGATTTCTCTTAAAATAGTTGTTGTAGCCATAGCGTGTCTTCACAGCAATGGAGCAATGGCTAAGAGGGTCTGTGAGGGTGTTTCCAGAGAGGGCTAACTGAGGAAGGAAGAGCCCTGGAACAAACAGAGAGAGAAAGGAAGGAGCCTGCCAAGCAGCAGCCATTTTCTCTCTGCTCCCTGACTGTAGAAGCAATGTGACCACCTGCCTCCCACTCCTGTAACAGTGCGCTCCAGGGCAGGATGGCCCATCTTCTCGACCTTAAGCAAAACAAATCCTCCCATTTGTAAGCAGCTCTGTCAGATATCATAGGACAAGGAGGAAGAAAGTAACGAATGCTCATATCTGCATACATAGTCTGTAATCATTACACCAAATCTGGTGCTAGCCAAAGACACAAAACTTTATAGAAGTCCTTCAACCTGAGAGCTCTAAGGTTGGAAAGCCAAGAAAACTTTACCTTTTGGTGTCTTGTTTGGCCATCACCATCACCCCAAACACAAAGCCTACTGCTCTATAGTAAGCTTAGAAGGCTTGTAAGAGTTCTGTTCTCTGTGACACAGGATGGGTGGTGTCCTTCAGGTCTGTCAGAGTCAGAGGGAAGAGTAAGCTGAAATTAGAACCCCCCCACCTCTATGACTATTCTCTCTCTCTCTCTCTCTCTCTCTCTCTCTCTCTCTTTCTCTCTGTTTGTTTTGGTTTTCATTTTTTGAGACAGGATTTCTCTGTGTAACCCTAGCTGTCTACCTCTGTAAATCAGGCTGGCCTCGAACTCACAGAGATCTGCCTCCTGTGCCTGGTTATTTATACCTATTATTTATTTATTTATTTATTTATTTATTTATTTATTTATTATTTTTTGGTTTTTCGAGACAGGGTTTCTCTGTGGTTTTGGAGCCTGTCCTGGAACTATATGCTTATTTTTTTAAGCCCTTTATTTTCTTATTTACTTAGAGCAACCTACTGGACATTATACATTTAGTTACTTGTTGCCTGGCTTCTGCATCAGTCTCTGAATGCTAGGACATCATCTTGGTCAACACCAGTTCTAATCAGGGTTCTCTAGAGGAACAGAGCCAAAGGAATGATCACACACACACACACACACACACACACACACACACACACTGACTGTATTAAGTCAGTTTTAAAACAGTAACAATAACAGAATCACATCCGAGAGTTGAGAACCCAGTAGTTACTCGTTCTTTGAGGCCAGTGCCTCAGTAGTCCCAGTCTGGCACTGGAAGCTCGGAGATTTCCTGGAGAGCCACAGGTCCCTAGTCTGCAACAAAAGCTTGGAAATGCTCGTTCTGATACCAGTGAAGCGAGCAGCAGCATTGGACAGATCAACCAGCGGCAAGAGGGAGGCCCAGCAAGCCAAAGGGGAGACACTCTTCCTTCTGCCTAGACCCTCTTTATTTGAGCTGCTGTCTGAAGCGCTGCTCACGACTAGGGTGGATCTTCCTGGATTGATCAAAGGCCTCAGGACACTTCTGTTACATCTTACCACTTAGGTAATTCTAATTTGTGGTAGGCTGACATCAAACTAACCATAATACCCCTGTATCCTCTGGGCTAGCTTCATGACTTGAACACTGTAGATACTCTGTGGATACTAGCTCCTAAGTGCGAGGGAACAGCATTCAGAGGAGAACCTGGCACCTTCATTTTTCTCTCAAGACTTCTGAATTGCCTTTGATATTTACATGAACTGTAAAATGAAACAAGTGAGAGGCATAACATATCTCTCAAGTGTCTTGGGAGGGAAACTCCCCCTTCATCCCCATCCCTTTAGAGTGCTACAGAAGGGGCCAGAGAGTTGGCTCCAGTGGTTAAGAGCACTTGTTGCCTTGTGGTAGACCCGGGTTCAATTCCCAGAACCCACGTAATGGTTCACAACCATCTGATCCAGGGAATCCAAAGCTCTCCTCTGACTTCAGAGGCATCAGGCACACACATGCTACACATGTATGCATGCAGGCAGGCAAGTACTCATACATGTAAAATAA